AGAGGAAAAACCCTTTCACCTGTAAAGGGTTAAGAAGCTAAGATAACCTTGCTGGCGCCTGACCAAAATGACCAATGAGGAGACAAGATACTTTCAAAGCTGGAGGGGGGGAAACAAAGGGTGCTCTCTGTCTGTGGTGCTTTTGCTGGGACCAGAGCAGGAATGCAGGTCAGAACTCCTGTAAAGAGTTAATAAGCAATCTAGTTAGGGATGCGTTAGATTCTGTTTTGTTTAAATGGCTGATAAAATAAGTTGTGCTGAATGCAATGTATATTCCTGTTTTTGTGTCTTTTTGTAACTTAAGGTTTTGCCTAGAGGGATTCTCTATGTTTTGAATCTGATTACCCTGTAAGGTATTTACCATCCTGATTTTACAGAGGTGATTATTTTACTTTTTCTTTAATTAAAATACTCTTTTAAGAACTTGATTGCTTTTTCATTGTTCTTAAGATCCAAGGGTTTGGGTCTGTGTTCACCTATGCAAATTGGTGAGGATTTTTATCAAGCCTTCCCCAGGAAACGGGGTGTAGGGCTTAGGGGGATTTTTGGGGGGAAAGACGTTTCCAAGTGGGCTCTGTCCCTGTTATTTTTGTTAGACGCTTGGTGGTGGCAGCAATAAGGTCCAGGGACAAAAGGTAAAATAGTTTGTACCTTGGGGAAGTTTTAACCTAAGCTGGTAAAAATAAGCTTAGGGGGTTTTCATGCAGGTTCCCCACATCTGTACCCTAGAGTTCAGAGTGGGGAAGGAACCTTGACAGACCCTTTCCAGACTACTGGCCACCTGAGAAGATAATACCATTTCCACCCTTTGGGTAATGGCAATCCCTGTGGTATTTTAAGCTGTCAGGACTCCAAGGGTCTCAGGTTGCTGGTTCAGTGAGAGCGGAAAACCAACGAGACAATGGGTTGGATCAGGGCCCTTGAGCACAGCCAGTCCTTCCCACATTGTCTGCCCCACATAGGAACACACCTCCCTTCCCCTGCCCTGCCTCATTCTACCTCCTTGGTTGTTGCTAGATCCAGCCCTCTGCCTCATTCTGAAAGCAACAGGGAAAGGTGGAAGGGAGGTTCAGGCAATCACTGTGGCAACAATAGCTCAGGGACAGGATAAAAGCAACATGCAGCGAAAAGTGGCTGCTGGGGAATGTTAGATGGGTGGGAAGCAGGAGGCACATTGTCCAGTCAGTGGCTCTTCTGGTATGATGTAGGCAGGTGGTATTAGGAGTTTGCCTTCTACAGCAGGCAGTGAGAGGCACGTGTGTGGTGTGTGTGAAGGCAAGGCTATTGAAGGAAGACAGAAGTGAAGAGACAGGAACTGAGTGGAATTAGCTCTTTTCCCTCACCTTAGTTTCCTAAATGAATTGTGTGTGTCTGCAGGACTTTTAGGAGTTAACAAAGCCCCTTTTCCTAAGCATGAACATGCATGTGTTGCTTTCTTTCTCGCTCTCATTTGCACAATCAGCTGTTTCAGCAGTGTGTAGTTAGCATACTGTATGTACCATTCCAGCAAGGCGTATAACAAGCTATAAGCAGCTCCTTACAGTGCAATAAAAACCCCTCTCATTAGGTCACAATGCATTGTAACTGTCTAGCCCATCAGTGTTTCCTTCTCAAAGCAACAGTTAGTGTGTTGAAGGTTGAAAGACTTCACCCGTGAAATTTCCAAAATCCTGTGAAGAAAATGTCAATACTACAAAACTGTTTTTCATTCAACACTTAAGGGAAATGCGCCTGGACTTTAGACCAGATGAATAGTCTCCCATTAACCTAGCTCCTTTAATCAGAAGACAGGCATTAAAGAGACAAATGACAAGTCTGAAAGGTCAGTAGTTACAGTAGGGTTTGGTATATTTATGAAAACAAAAGCAGCAGTAGGGCATAATTCACTTCAACTGAGAAGGCAAAAAAGGGCTTCTAGGCATTTTTGCTTCTAAAGCAAAATCTGTAGAATTTTCTTACCCAACTTTAAACTCGGTAGCTGGTAATCACCATGTTCAAACTGTCATAAATCAGAGATCAGCCCAGCCTAATAACCCTGGAGCCCAAACTCCCCTTGTTTTTGAGGGGAGTTTTCTGGTTGGAATCTACCTTACAAGGATTCAATCCAGAAGTATTGAGCTTGATGCAGATGTACCCTTTCCTGAAATGCGAGGGGATTAGCATCTGATGTTCTGGCACAGATAATAATGAAATGCTCTGTTTTAGCAAAGCAGCTAATATGTGAAGATGTTTGAACTTGCTCCATAGAGGGCAATTGTTTGTTTGTTTCTGCAATTGCCTAAGCAGAAAATCCTTATGATATAGAGACTGACTAATGCTGTATAATATCTTGGAAGGAAATACAACATGTCTTTCTCTTCTCCTTTGTCATTATAAGCATATGACAACTACAATCAGGCTCAAAACACAAGGCCACAGGTTTTTATATGTGCTTACAATATGAAAACCTTCAGCTCTTAACAGTCCGTTAGAATGCTGTAATGTCCCATGTCCCTTCAGCAATATAAAGTTTGAGTTTTCTTTCTTTCCATTAGAACAATATTGAAATTAAAGCATGGGGTCTTTCTTTGGGTAGCATTTGCCCTGCAGTTTCCTGTGTGCACATCAGCATTGAAGAGAAGCTAGTGAACAAGTTATGGCCCCTGTTCATAGTAGCCAATAACCACTGTTAACTTTCTTTGTCCACCTAAGGATTCACCTCTGCTATGATGCCCCCAGAACACAGCCATCTGGTAATGGGTTAAGCAGGTAGTGATTTGTGATGACTGCTACTGATTGGCTTGTTTCACATACAAACAATGCATTTAGCTAGTTGCTGGTTAAACATATTCCTGTTATTGCTACCTTGTCCTATCACCTGCCTACTAGTCTGTTTCTTGCCTGTTTAAACTGTAAGCTCTTTGGGGGCAGGGATTGTCTCTTACTTTGTGTCTGTAGGGTCTGTAGACCCGGTCTGGTTTAGTAATCTAGGCTCTAGTAATACAAGTAATAAATAATAATGATGTGTGGCAAGGGTTCTCAAGATCGTCAGTAACATGGACCAGACCTGAATAGAGAGTTTTTCTCGTGGTCTGCTGTCCTCCCATTTTCAGTTAATTAGTATCTCTGTGGCAATTACAGCAATTGCTTACATGGAAAGAATATTAGGAAAGCACTTCAGCTGTCCTTTAATACATTTTAACAGATGGAAACCAGGAGGAGACACAACACTATATGACCAACCATGGTTTCCTGGCTCACTGTTTGAGAACTGCTGATATATAGTATAATACAGCTAATTTAGTCAGTATATTAAAAGTCCCCATTTTTAACAAACCAGATATTTGCCTTTCTCAGCCCATGTCTTGCTTATTGTTCATTACTTTCATTTCTGTGTCACGTCAGAATTTGAAAACAGTAAGGTTATTTGTTTCTGCATTCTGTTTCTTTCGGCTAGATCCTACTCCCTCTGTGCACCGAGGTAAAAGAAGCAGAAGACTGTATAAGGGTGCATTTTTTTCCCTATGCAAATAGCTGAACAGAATCTCTCCCACCACTCGGGTCGACTGGGTGGTATGTCTGTTCACACACTGGCTCTCACATTGTGGACCCTGCAGCATAGGAGGTGAAACCAGCTGGCTAATGCTTAGGCTGCTATTAACAGCTTGTGTTATCTGGGTGTGCCCCTAGTACCTGCTCATAGGAGGAGGAAGCAGTGCATTGTGGTGGGTTGCACAAAGGCAGATTAGAAGTTCTGTGGTTTAACATACTTTTTTTTCCTGCTTCTTTTAATCAAAATCAGTATCAAGAGTGTGAGAAAATATATTCAGTATAACTACTGTGTGTGTAGTAAACAGTGCTGAAAAGGGATGGTTGTAGGCCTGAGACACTGGACTGAGACTCAAGAGATTTGGGTTCAGGTCCTGGCACTGCCACAGAGTTTTTGGGAGGCCCTGGGCAAGTCACTTCCCTGCCCTGCTTCAATTTTCCCACCGGTTAAATTGGGATAATCACTTCTTACCTGTCAGGGGTGTGTGAGAATATATTAACATTTGTGGTGCTCAGATGACAGGAACTATATAAACAGATTGTGTGCAGGGCGGTCTCAGGATTGGGGGAGTATATATGTAAAACCATCTTTTCCCCCTCAAGTTGGCCATTTGAGTGTTCCTTGGCTACAGTTGGGGTCTGGCCCAGTAAAATTTTCAGAAATAAAATCTAAACATTTCAAGGAAAGTGAAGTCTAATGTAATTTTGATTAAGTGCTTCTCACCTTGGTTATGGTTCTCAGAAAGTGTCTTTGTTTAAATAGTAGAACAGATGAATAAGCTCTTCAAACAAAAGCCCCAGGACATGGGATCTACCATAGGTTAAGGGCACAGATTTTTGTGGAAATGCTTGTTAAAACAGTTTCCCCTATAGTTAGCACAGGAAATAACTGGCATGATTGTGTAGTAGTATCAGTTGACAAATGTTGACAATGTAATGTTGACTGTGGCAACCTTTTTGGGGGTCTCTGAAGAGATGACAAAGCTATTGGTTGTTTTGAGTCATGAGGCCCAGGAGGCTGAGTACTGAGAGATTGTTGGACTATTTGTTTAGGATAACCTCTGTAGAGTAAAATCATAGGCCATATCTGGTTCTGCAATAACTTTTACATGACTAGCATGCAGTATTTTTATTATTGCTACCTGAAGAGATCTTGTCTGTGATATCAGACTCTGGTTTCCTCAGTGGGGAAAAATAAGCTATGTGATGCATTGTTTAGTCCCTATCTATGTATTGTGGTCTCTCACCTTTTGTGATATCCATGTAAACTCTGCTGAGAGCCCCAGAAACAAAGGTAACAGTGAAAAATTGGTGTTGGAGCCTGAGGGGAAAGCAGGAGGGCCAGTCTCCTTTTCCCCTTTAGCTTTCACTGAATATGTTTTTATCTGTATAACTGTTGATTTGAACCTTAGTGGAATGTGAAGAATACCTGCCTCTTCGAACTACTGATGATCTTTATTATCATCTTCTAGAAACTTTGGATCATCACTGGCATATTTTGCTCATTGCTGGAGGGGCTGCTGCCTCATTACTGTTACTGGTCACCATACTGATCATCAGCATCGCTCTTGTTTATCGTAAAAAGTAAGTAGAGTAACAGATCCAATTCCTTAACGACCCTGAGTAGCTCTAAAGTCTCAGGGTATGTCTACACTACGGAATAAGGTCGAATTTATAGAAGTCGGTTTTTTAGAAATCGGTTTTATATATTCGAGTGTGTGTGTCCCCACAGAAAATGCTCTAAGTGCATTAAGTGCATTAACTCGGCGGAGCGCTTCCACAGTACCAAGGCTAGAGTCGACTTCCGGAGCGTTGTGGGTAGCTATCCCACAGTTCCCGCAGTCTCCGCTGCCCATTGGAATTCTGGGTTGAGATCCCAATGCCTGATGGGGCTAAAACATTGTCGCGGGTGGTTCTGGGTACATATCGTCAGGCCTCCGTTCCCTCCCTCCCTCCGTGAAAGCAAGGGCAGACAATCATTTCGCGCCTTTTTTCCTGAGTTACCTGTGCAGACGCCATACCACGGCAAGCATGGAGCCCGCTCAGGTAACCGTCACCCTATGTCTCCTGGGTGCTGGCAGACGTGGTACGGCATTGCTACACAGTAGCAGCAACCCATCTGGCAGCAGACGGTGCAATACGACTGGTAGTCGTCCTCGTCGTGTCCGAGGTGCTCCTGGCCATGTCGGCTGGGAGCGCCTGGGCAGACATGGGCGCAGGGACTAAATTTGGAGTGACTTGACCAGGTCATTCTCTTTAGTCCTGCAGTCAGTCCTATTGAACCGTCTTATGGTGAGCGGGCAGGCGATACGGACTGCTAGCAGTCGTACTGTACCATCTTCTGCCAGGCAGGCAAGAGATGAGGATGGCTAGCAGTCGTACTGTACCATCTTCTGCCGAGCAGCCATGAGATGTGGATGGCATGCAGTCCTTCTGCACCGTCTGCTGCCAGCCAAAGATGTAAAAGATAGATGGAGTGGGTCAAAACAAGAAATAGACCAGACTTGTTTTGTACTCATTTGCCTCCTCCCCTGTCTAGGGGACTCATTCCTCTAGGTCACACTGCAGTCACTCACAGAGAAGGTGCAGCGAGGTAAATCTAGCCATGTATCAATCAGAGGCCAGGCTAACCTCCTTGTTCCAATAAGAACGATAACTTAGGTGCACCATTTCTTATTGGAACCCTCCGTGAAGTCCTGCCTGAAATACTCCTTGATGTACAGCCACCCCCTTTGTTGATTTTAGCTCCCTGAAGCCAACCCTGTAAACCGTGTCGTCAGTCGCCCCTCCCTCCATCAGAGCAACGGCAGACAATCGTTCCGCGCCTTTTTTCTGTGCGGACGCCATACCAAGGCAAGCATGGAGGCCGCTCAGCTCACTTTGGCAATTAGGAGCACATTAAACACCACACGCATTATCCAGCAGTATATGCAGCACCAGAACCTGGCAAAGCGATACCGGGCGAGGAGGCGACGTCAGCGCGGTCCCGTGAGTGATCAGGACATGGACACAGATTTCTCTGAAAGCATGGGCCCTGCCAATGCATGCATCATGGTGCTAAAGGGGCAGGTTCATGCTGTGGAACGCCGATTCTGGGCTCGGGAAACAAGCACAGACTGGTGGGACCGCATAGTGTTGCAGGTCTGGGACGATTCCCAGTGGCTGCGAAACTTTCGCATGCGTAAGGGCACTTTCATGGAACTTTGTGACTTGCTTTCCCCTGCCCTGAAGCGCATGAATACCAAGATGAGAGCAGCCCTCACAGTTCAGAAGCGAGTGGCGATAGCCCTGTGGAAGCTTGCAACGCCAGACAGCTACCGGTCAGTTGGGAATCAATTTGGAGTGGGCAAATCTACTGTGGGGGCTGCTGTGATGCAAGTAGCCCACGCAATCAAAGATCTGCTGATATCAAGGGTAGTGACCCTGGGAAATGTGCAGGTCATAGTGGATGGCTTTGCTGCAATGGGATTCCCTAACTGTGGTGGGGCTATAGACGGAACCCATATCCCTATCTTGGCACCGGAGCACCAAGCCGCCGAGTACATAAACCGCAAGGGGTACTTTTCGATAGTGCTGCAAGCTTTCTGGTGGATCACAAGGGACGTTTCACCAACATCAACGTGGGATGGCCGGGAAAGGTGCATGATGCTCACATCTTCAGGAACTCTGGTCTGTATGAACAGTTGTAGGAAGGGACTTACTTCCCAGACCAGAAAATAACTGTTGGGGATGTTGAAATGCCTATATGTATCCTTGGGGACCCAGCCTACCCCTTAATGCCATGGCTCATGAAGCCGTACACAGGCAGCCTGGACAGTAGTCAGGAGCTGTTCAACTACAGGCTGAGCAAGTGCAGAATGGTGGTAGAATGTGCATTTGGACGTTTAAAGGCGCGCTGGCGCAGTTTACTGACTCGCTTAGACCTCAGCGAAACCAATATTCCCACTGTTATTACTGCTTGCTGTGTGCTCCATAATATCTGTGAGAGTAAGGGGGAGACGTTTATGGCGGGGTGGGAGGTTGAGGCAAATCGCCTGGCTGCTGGTTACGCGCAGCCAGACACCAGGGCGGTTAGAAGAGCACAGGAGGGCGCGGTACGCATCAGAGAAGCTTTGAAAACCAGTTTCATGACTGGCCAGGCTCCTCTCATCACGCTGCCGCCACATTTGAGCTTCAGCCCTGTCTTCAGCCCGCCACTTACTCTCTTCAGCCCGCCACCTCTCCTCCCGGTCATTTTGTGCTTTCCTACACTCTGACATTATTTGCCTCCACGCATTCGTCTGTGCTCTGTCAGTGTGGGAGGACAGCATGAGCTCGGAGAACATTTCATCGCAAGTGCGTTTTTTTTTTTCTTTCTAAGCTTCACTAGCCTCTGGGAAGGAGAAGATCCTGTGATCATTGAAACACATGCAGCTGGTGGAGAAAAAAAAAGGGACAGCGGTATTTAAAAAGACACATTTTATAAAACAGTGGCTACACTCTTTCAGGGTAAACCTTGCTGTTAACATTACATACATAGCACATGTGCTTTCATTACAAGGTCGCATTTTGCCTCCTCCCACCGCGTGACTACCCCCTCAACCTTCCCCCCTCCCTGTGGCTAACAGCTGGGAACATTTCTGTTTAGCCACAGGCAAACAGCCCAGCAGGAATGGGCTCCTCTGAGTGTCCCCTGAAGAAAAGCACTCTATTTCAACCAGGTGACCATGAATTAGATCTCACTCTCCTGAGGATAACACAGAGAGATAAAGAACGGATGTTGTTTGAACGCCAGCAAACATACACTGCAATGCTTTGTTCTACAATGATTCCCGAGTACGTGTTACTGGCCTGGAGTGGTAAAGTGTCCTACCATGAAGGACGCAATAAGGCTGCCCTCCCCAGAAACCTTTTGCGAAGGCTTTAGGACTACATCTAGGAGAACCGCAAATGCCAGGGCAAAGTAATCCTTTCACATGCTTGCTTTTAAACCATGTATAGTATTTTAAAAGGTACACTCACCAGAGGTCCCTTCTCCGCCTGCTGGGTCCAGGAGGCAGCCTTGGGTGGGTTAAGGGGGTACTGGCTCCAGGTCTAGGGTGAGAAACAGTTCCTGGCTGTCGGGAAAACCGGTTTCTCCGCTTGCTTGCTGTGAGCTATCTACAACCTCCTCCTCATCATCATCTTCTTCGTCCCCAAAACCTGCTTCCGTATTGCCTCCATCTCCATTGAAGGAGTCAAACAACACGGCTGGGGTAGTGGTGGCTGAACCCCCTAAAATGGCATGCAGCTCATCATAGAAGCGGCATGTTTGGGGCTCTGACCCAGAGCGGCTGTTCATCTCTCTGGTTTTCTGGTAGGCTTGCCTCAGCTCCTTCAGTTTCATGCGGCACTGCTTCGGGTCCCTGTTATGGCCTCTGTCCTTCATGCCCTGGGAGATTTTCACAAAGGTTTTGGCATTTCGAAAACTGGAACGGAGTTCTGATAGCACGGATTCCTCTCCCCAAACAGCGATCAGATCCCGTACCTCCCGTTCGGTCCATGCTGGAGCTCTTTTGCGATTCTGGGACTCCATCATGGTCACCTGTGCTGATGAGCTCTGCATGGTCACCTGCAGCTTGCCACGCTGGCCAAACAGGAAATGAGATTCAAAAGTTCGCGGTTCTTTTCCTGTCTACCTGGCCAGTGCATCTGAGTTGAGAGTGCTGTCCAGAGCGGTCATAATGGAGCACTCTGGGATAGCTCCTGGAGGCCAATACCATCGAATTGTGTCCACAGTACCCCAAATTCGAGCCGGCAACGTCGATTTAAGCACTAATCCACTTGTCAGGGGTGGAGTAAGGAAATCGATTTTAAGAGCCCTTTAAGTCGAAATAAAGGGCTTCATTGTGTGGACGGGTGCAGGTTTACATCGATTTAACGCTGCTAAATTCAACCTAAAGTCCTAGTGTAGACCAGGGCTTAAAGACCTCATATTGGATAGCCTTCCACTGACATAACTGCTAAGACTGTAACATCCTCTTTAGAATTGGTTTTAAAAAATGGGGTGTGGAAATGTAGCAATTTTTAAAAATGTACCCCTTTTATTCAAAATTTGAAATATCAACACTTGGAAAATTCTGATGCTACAGCTGGTAGAAAAAATTGTTAATGTTTCAAGTTTTTCCTAATTTTTTTAAAAATTTGAATTTCAAAAAATGTCAACACGTTCTAATCTTCATGCTCTTATTAAATGCTTTCATGGCATAAACCACAACTGGCGCACTCTGCGATTACATGCTAAGGGATTAAGTTCTGAATTTATTTCCCACTTGAATCCTCCCATCCCCAAGTATACTGCATCCCCTACCAAATGACTAAAGGTTGTTAAACCTAGATTGTATGTCTTTGTTTTTTGTTGAAGTTGGCAAAAACAACAGTAACAAAATAATGAGACATCTCCCCCCCCTCTCCCCCCCCCCGCAATACAAAGCATTTTTAGAAAAAAGGTCATTTTAGCTAATTGGCAAATGTCTTTTTATTCACCTGAAATGGGGTTGGTTTTTTAAATGTATTATTTATGTCCCAACTTTGTGCTCAGCACTATATGAGACAAAGTCAATTTCTGTCCCAAGGAGGTTACAGTCTATAACTCAGACACAGAAACACTAAGCTGCCCAGGGACCCAGAGGAGAGGCTGATTGGAGTTTGTTCTTTCTTTTGCTTTGAGTAAGAAGGTAAACCCAGTTCTCCATTATCTCTCTCATTTCTAGTTCTCCCTGGGAAGCAAAATCCCAAGATGCTAGATGGCCTTTTAAGCCGTTTTTTGGTTATTATTTTTGTACTGAGATTATTGTACAGATCTATGTTGTTAGAATTAATCTGCTAAACTATGTAGATGTGCATTTCCACTGTAACATTCCCGTTGAATGTGTGTCACCAGAAAGAAAAGGAGAAGGATTATGAAGGCCCTGTCGAAAGCCCTGTACTCTACTCAGACCCGGGTAAGACTGGCCAAAGAACTACTTCCTTTTTGCGGGATCTTTTTGTGTGTCTTTCTTTTCTGAGTAATTTAAATGTGACAACATGAAAACAGTACTTTCTGCAGTTCGCAATTTAGATTCTACTCTTACTACTGGTGCTTTTTTCACTGTTTCCCTGAAATATGCTCACACTTGTAAGAGACAGCATGGTGTAGTGGTCTGAGCACTGATCCAAGCACCAGGAATTCCTGAGGTCTAATCCCGTTGATGGGCTCGTCATGCAGGCCACCATTCTCAAGTCAATGGGAGTTGCAGATGCTCAGCAACGCTCCAAATCAGGCCCTGTGTATTTGTCCTAAATATGGATTTATGGGCTGGATTTTGAGCTCCCAATTTGGCTTTAACACCTTTCTGAATTTCTGTTTCCCCTTGAATAAAAATGGATTGTTAGTTTAAGAGGAGTGCTGCAAGGATTAGTTAATATTTGCTAAGGACTCTGATAGTATTAGACATCAAAGTGCTGAATGTTTTGGCAGTGATCCTTCTGTGATATAAGAGGGTAGATATGTTTGCAAATAGTTTACCTTTCGGCTTGAAAGCTAACCCCATCATTCCTCCATATGCTGCATGCATGTTTAATTTTGGACACTAAATGTAACATTGGTTCATTCTATTATTTGATACATCTTCAGTTTGTTTTAAAAGTAATACCTAAACATATTGCATATGTATGCAGGACTTCTGCCATGGGAGAAGTGTAACAGGAGAACTTAGGTGCTGTGTTTGGGAGTGAGATGTGAGTTCATCTACTCTAATTTTGTAGGGCAGATACCCAGTTTTCAGAGGTTTCCCTCTTTTTTGTTCTTTAGAGGTGGGACCCAAACACTAATACTTAAACCTTTTTTAGACATTTGTGTTCCATAAAAAATATAATATAATATAAATCTTTATAGAGCCCTAAGAATGCTAAGGTGAGGGAAGGGTGCCAACTTAATTCTGCTCCTGCCTTTCCTCTACACTGACCCTCAGTCCTGGCTCCTGGGGGGCCACCTTTGCCATCTTTCCCCCTGAACACTATGTAACCTTTCTTAATGGGTGTGTGTCTCTCGCTGCTTCTCCCAGTCACCAGCTTGTACATGAAGCCACTGTGAGTTGCATGGTAGAGATTTCTTTAAAACTCCATCTTTACTCGTAGTCTTCACTGCCTCCCTTCTGTCTTATATTGACCAGAAGAAGGGTGAAGCAGGCTGTAATGGGAGTACAGGCCTCAGGGAAATCCCTGCACTAAGAAATCTTCCCTTTTTCTGTGATAAGGAGCCCTAATGGGACTTGTTCCAACTTTAGGAACTGCCTAGTTCATAAAGCAATTAATGCATGAGGAATCACAAGTGTTTTAAGATTGGACGAATCCTGCAGTTGTTTTCATCTATCTATTATGCCCCAGCTGAAATTATTAATCGTGATTAAGCGCCCTGTTAAACAATAGAATGCTATTTATTTAAATATTTTGGGTGCTCTCTATGTTTTCAAATATATTGATTTCAATTACAACACAGAATACAAAGTGTACAATACTCACTTTATATTTATTTTTGATTACAAGTATTTGCACTGTAAAAAAACAAGGTAGTATTTTTAAATTCACCTAATACAAGTACTGTACTGCAATCGCTTTATCATGAAAGTTGAATTTACAAAAGTAGAATACTCTGCAAAAAAACTTGCATTCAAAAATAAAATAATCTAAAATTTTAGAGCCTGCATGGGCTCAGTCCTCCTTCTTGTAAAGCCAATTGCTCAGACAAACAAGTTTGTTTACATTTGCAGGAAATAATGCTGCCCGCTTCTTGTTTACAATGTCACCTGAAAGTGAAAACAGGCATTTGCATGGAACTGTTGTAGCCAGAGTCCCAAGATATTTACGTGCCAGATGCACTAAAGATTCATATGTCCCTTCATGTTTCAACTACCGTTCCAGAGGATGTGCGTCCATGCTGATGACAGGTTCTGCTCGATAACAATCCAAAGCAGTGCGGACCGATGCATGTTCATTTTCATTATCTGAGTCAGATGCCATGAGCAGAAGGTTGATTTTCTTTTCTGGTGGTTCGAGTTCTGTAGTTTCCACATCGGAGTGTTGCTCTTTTAAGACTTCTGAAAGCATGCTCCACACCTCGTCCCTCTCAGATTTTAGAAGGCACTTTCGATTCTTAAACCTTGGGTCGAGTGCTGTAGCTATCTTTAGAAATCTCACATCGGTACCTTCTTTGCGTTTTATGAAATCTGTAGTGAAAGTGTTCTTAAAATGAACAACATGTGCTGGGTCATCATCCGAGACTGCTAGAACATGAAATATATGGCAGAATGTGGGTTAAAAAACAGCAGGGGCATACAATTCTCCCCCAAGGAGCTCAGTCACAAATTTAATTAATGCATTATTTTTTTTAATGAGCATCAGCAGGATGGAAGCATGTCCTCCGGAATGGTGTCCGAAGCATGAAGGGGGCATATCAATGTTTAGCTTAACTGGCACATAAATACCTTGCAATGCCAGCTACAAAAGTGCCATGTGAATGCCAGTTCTCACTTTCTGGTGACATTGTAAACAAGAAGAGGGCAGCATTACCTCCCGTAAATGTAAAGAAACTTGTTTGTCTTAGTGATTGGCTGAACAAGAAGTAGGACTGCGTGGACTTGTAGGCTCTGAAGTTTTACATTTGTTTTGTTTTTGAGTGCTGCAGTTATTTAACAAACAAAATCTACATTTGTAAGTTGCACTTTCACGACAAAGAGATTGCATTGCTGTACTTGTATGAGGTGAATTGAAAAATACTATTTCTTTGTTTATCATTTTTACAATGCAAATATTTGTAATCAAAAATAATATAAAGTGAGCACTGTACACCTTGTATTCTGTACTGTAACTGAAATCAATATATTTGAAAATGTAGAAAAACTTTCAAAATAATTAATACATTTCAGTTGGTATTCTATTGTTTAACAGTGTGAGTAAAACTGCGATTTAATTGCGATTAATTTTTTCTGGCATGGTGGTTGAAGCATGAAGGGACATATGAATCTTTAGCATATCTGGAACATAAATACCTTGCAATGCCAGCTACAAAAGTGCCATGTGAACGCCAGTTCTCTCTTTCTGGTGATAGTGTAAACAAGAAGAGGGCAGCATTATCTCCTGCACATGTAAACAAACTTGTCTGAGCGTTTGGCTGAACAAAAAGTAGGACTGAGTGGACTTGTAAGCTCTAAAGTTTGAAATTTGTTTTATTTTTGAATGCAGTTATTTTTTGTGCATAATGCTACATTTGTAAGTTCAACTTTCATGATAAAGAGATTGCACTATAGTACTTGTATTAAGTGAACTGAAAAATACAATTTTTCATTTTTATAGAGCACAAATTGATAAAAAATAAATATAAAGTGAGCACAGTACACTGTTGAAATTGAAATCAATATATTTGAAAATGTGGAAAACATCCAAAAATATTTAAAGAAATGGTATTCTAATATTGTTTAACAGTACAATTTTTTTTAACTGTATGATTACTTTTTTTAATCGCTTGACAGCCCTGTCCTAGATGTTTTGAGAAAACTCTGGAACTTTTTGAAATGTTCAGAATACTAAAAGTACCAACTTGTTCCAGGTTCTTCCTCCCATCTCTGTTCTTTCCCACCTTACCTTCACTACTGCAGTATCTTCCAGTGCTGTAAATGAGATCTGGGCTCAAGCAGCTTTTCTTCATTTTTTTGACATTCCTATTATTGTTGTTCTGAGGGCATTCAGAGCCGAACACTAACAGGGGCTCTTGAGCTTTAGCTCGATTGTGAACATCTCCCTTGATTAAATAAAGTGTGGCTATCTAATGAACCAATGATTTGCAGTTCACTGTTGACATTTTTAATGGTTTTATGTTCTTCTAGCCCAGTAACAGTTATGGAAGATCCAACTTTCATGGCACACCAGACAGCAGAAGAGGAGTAGAATCAGTGTCTGGGCAGATGGATGAGATTTATATCAACTACAGAGACTACTCACGCAAACCAAAGACAAGAGCATGAGTTTCTTTCGCATGTCTGAATAAAGTAACCAATGTCGAAGTACAGGCTCTGGATCGTAGGCTGGATTCTCTTTGTACCAGACTGACCTTTATTTTTTTAGTCTCCATCAGCAAAGTGACTTTGATTTATCAGTCCAGCAAGAGATTATTTGTTTGTCTATAATTTACACTTTCCAAGACTTTAACTACATTTTAAGCCATCATTTTGGCAGGCAGGGAGGGAATAAATTAAGGGGCCAATTCAGAGCTGCTGTACTCCAATGGCACTGGAGCTGCATCTGTCTACACCAGGTCTGAATTTGATCTTGGAAGTTTATCTGAATGAGTGAAGCAGAGGGAAAATGTGTTCTTTTCTGTCTAGATCCAGGTGTTTAACATCTACAGTGGCACTCACATTGTGTGCTTTATAGAGTGGTAGCAGAATGAAACTGTTTTTGCTCACTGGTAACATAATACTTGTATTTGATCTTGTCACTTCACATGCAGCTGGTTTTCTCCTGCCCAGAATAAGACGGGTTCACAGGAACTCACCATCCCTCCCTCTTCATGGCCACACAAGATGTTCAAGCAGTTACTCAGGTCCTTATGGTTGAGGAAAGGATAGAAATCTGGCCCTGAGGCACAGCAGCACACTCAGGCCTGGTCTACACTGGGGTAGGGATCGATCTAAGTTACACAACTTTGGCTACGTGAAGAACATAGCTGAAGTCTACGTACTTAGATCTACTTACCGCGGTGTCTTCACTGCGGTAAGTCGACAGCTGACTTTCTCCCATTGACTCCGCCTGTGCCTCTCGCCCTGGTGGAGTACCGGAGTCGATGGGAGAGCTCTCGATTTATCGCATCTAGACTAGACGCGATAAATCAACCCCTGCTGAATTGATCACTGCCCGTTGATCCAGCTGGTAATGTCGACAAGCCCTCAGGTGAAAACAAAACACAAAGACTCTGTCACTGGCAAGTTATATTTAATAATAATTTATTATAAGGTTTGGTTGCACAAAAAATAAATGAGAACAAGGAGGATACAGGAATAAATGAGGCAAAGCAGAAGAAAAAAGCATGATTAAGAACACTTACAAAATGATATGTATACATACACATACATATATGTGTATATATTCTGCAGGAATCTGCAGAAGAAAATGCACAAAAATAGAAAGAAACAAAACCAGAAGGCAGACCTGAGAATTATGGTCTTTACACAAGTGGAATGTCTCTAGGCGTGTGCAGGACAGTCACTTTAACATGAGGGAGGAATCCAGGTAAGTGAGTGCTATTATGAAGACTAATAGTCACATATGGCTGCATACTATAGTGCCTCAACATACTGTATACTGTGTGTCAGGCTGATTAATCACATCTGCTTGGCCTGGTGCTCCCTTTCTCTTTAAACATTAGTGAAAGTGGTACTGAACTTGAATATTTCTGGAAAGGGGAAAAAAGTTAATGTCATTCTTCCTAAGCATTAGTTACCAGTTCTATTGAGTTGGCAGGAAAAGAGCATTGACAGCAGCCTGAAAGCTAAAAGCACATTATAGTTAACCTCTTCTGACAGAAGGCTGGTTTCATGTGAATAAAAAAACAGTGGCCTAGATTCTTCTGGTCATTATGTGGACATGGGAGTCCCAAGCTACTGTAGAGGATCACAGCATTGTGCAGCTAGCCTACATTTCAGCTAAATTGAAGTGTTGTAAGACTAAAAATTCATTCAAACCTAGCATTGAAGAGTTTCATTGTTTACAATGTCAAACACATCTTTTTTTTTTTTTAATATCTGTGTACTCCTCAGCAAATACCTATATACATTATAAGGGGTACTTTTATTTTTTTCCACCGACTGAAGGATTGTTAGCAGATGAACAATGAAATTGCATCATATCGATGAGGATACAATGAAATGTACTATTGATAAGTTGGGTTTTTTTTTACCTGAGTTATCACGTCATACCAGATCATTGCAAATTGTGCACAGTATTAAAAGTAGAGCCCTGTATCAGCAGGCCTTTTCTCTAACCTAGATCTGGTGATCCCATTTATATTCAAATGCCAAGCTGTTAATATAATGTATTCCAGTAGATTTAAGTTTTCTAGTCAGAGCTCTGGATGCCTCAAGATATAATAACCAAGAAGTTGGTAGTGCCCCCCTGTTTTTTTAGAAGCAGAGTTTTCACTTGTAGTGCATTCATACTAGTCTACATAAACTAAAGAGTTGGTTTTACTGAGGGTGAAAAGATGGGGATTTTTTTTTTAACTTGAATAGCTACAGGATCATCTTATTTTCGTTTGTTTCTGGTAAGAGTCCTTGATGTTTCCTTGACATGGTATCTGAGGCCATTATAACATTTCTCTGTACATTTTTTTTTTCAAAATAATTGAACATTTTCCAGATTTTAGGGGGGGAAATCTGTACTGCATATCTTGGCATTTTGTTTCATCTATTTTAATTCAAATTCCATAGATGTTTTGCTTCTACAAAGACAGTATACAGGGAAAATTGTGTCAACACATCACACACAGCATAATAAAAGTAATATATTAATCTTTTCCAATAAACAGACCAAGCAACAGCTTAATTTTGTACCATTATCATAAAGCTATATCAGTGAACAGCAGCTGAACCCCAGATGAAACCATTAAAAAAACAACCTTGTCAATGTTCCAAACTGGCAGCAAAATCAGTAAGTTACTAAAATCTCTTAAGACTAAAGAGCCTGGCTTGCACAAGTTGTCATTAATATGTCAACATTGCCTACAGTTTGTTTTCTAAATAGAAGGAAAAACTTAGTTACCACTGTGGAGTAACTGTTGGCCAGTGCTGATTTTTTAATGGAAACCACTGTAGGTGAAGCGTCTAAGCACAGCAGTTGGGGAGTAGGATTTAAAACCTCTTAAAATGTATGAGTGTGGCTCGAGGGACTGTCTATGGCAAAATTTGCATCGTTTTAAATTAGTGTTCTAGGTACCCACTCTGAAGTCAGACAGCTCACAGGGCACTATTTGTGACTTAGATGATCAAGCTCAGAATTTCACATAATAGGACCAAATTACATCCTTAGCAAATGTAAGAAATGCAATTCCTTTTACAGGTGCTTATTTCCTCTAGGGCAAAAGTATGCAACTAAACTTTGCAATCACTTTTGAACAGAAAAATAGCAATGATAAACACTGAAAATAATGATTGAAATAAGTGTGTTTTTTCTCTACAGCTTAGAACCGTTTAAAAAAAAATCAATGTCCCACAAAGATAACAATAAACCCCAAACAGCAGGCAGATTATGGAATTTACTGAAGGCTATTACAGCATTACTTATTTAAAAATAACCAAACAAACCCAGGCTCCAGAAACATTACTTAAATAAATGAAGCTTACAGGATAAAGCATATTTTCATTAAACAAAAGAGATATTTAATTTGTTAATCTTTAATTAAGGGACCTCTTAGCAGAAAACTGGAATTATACTGATAAAAGCTTTTAAGAAAGGGAAAAGATGGCTTTTCTTCAGTGACACATTAAATCTGCTATGGCTAGTTGTATGCATGTATGTTGTGCGCAAGGAGAGAGACATTTATATGCTTGGTTTATGTTTCAAGGAGAAGACCTGTAATTGATGGCATTATAAAACCTTTTAAACTTAAATACATGTCTCTTGAAAAACTGAGTCCTCCAAAGTGAAATAGTATCTGAAATTGGCCTATTCTGGCAACGCTTCACTCTGCAGAGACAGCCATCTTCCTGGTTCATGAAAAACAGAAAGAGGATCGAACTCCCACTTTAAGGTGCTTTGGGCAGATAGCATAGCAGGGAATTGAGATGCTCTATTGAAATATTTCTTTTAGCTTCCTTTATTCTTAAAAAAATGCTGATGTGTTTTAAAGACAATAAATAATCTGCATCCTGCCAAGGCCTCTATCATAACTTCCCACTTTCTGTTCCTCTTGGCTATTTCTTTCTCTCGGGCCCAGCAGAGCGCATTTTGTCTGCTAGTAGTTGGAGGTGTGAAGGAATGTCTGGAGGGTTTGTTGCTGAGAGGGGGAGAGAAGGGAGCTAAAAGCGTATGTTGGGTTGTACTTGAAAGATTCAGTCAGGTAGGAACTTTGGATTTGGGGGAAAGGTCTGGGCTGAGCCATGAAAAGAAACTGTTTCAAATAACAGATCCTAGGGTGAAGATTACTTGCAGTCTTAAAACTTCTGGAAACCATGGGGCAGATTATTTCTCATATCTACTTTACACCCCAGAAGTTCCATCTAACTCAGTAGGCTAAGTGATTGTCATGTGGCGATGCTCCTCTCAAGTCCAAGGAGGGACACTGATTGACACCAGCACAGTTACCATCTACCTCACTGAGTTACACAGATGTAAGTGAGAGGAAACCCAGGCTCTAAATGCCTCCACTGAATTCAATGGAGTTGTATTTGCTTACACCAGGGCTACAATTAATTGCTAATACCTTGTTTCTCCAATTAAATCTAATTGTTTGCTCCTGTCTTTAATGATCATCGGGTAGCAAGATGACACTCTCCATGTTCTGAGGAATTTTATTTTAAAGCTATTACTTAATTCTGAAATTAACACCACTGATCTGTTGAAATTGTGAAATTTTAGAAATGTGCACATTTCCTTTTACATGTTTTATGTCTAGTTGGACACCAGCCTGACTAGTTCAGGCTCCCAATCTAAACCCTGCTTATAGAATTATTTAGATGATGAGCAAAATTTTCAGAAACATTTAAATGATTGAGGCTCCTAAGTCTCTTTTTTCAAAAGTGACTTAGGCATTTAAGAGTTCAAGTACCACTGACTTGCTATGAAACTTAAGTGCCTAATGACCAGATTTTCTACAGTATTTAGGCACCTAGAGATGTGGATAGGCAAATTGTCGGATTTTCAAAAGCACTGAAGCAGGTTACATGCCTAGTTGCCATGGGAATCAATAGGAGATAGGTGCTGAACCAGCTTTAGTTCATAAAGGTGTTATACACTTTTGAAAATGGAAGGTAGGCTCCTAATGTGCTCAGATGCATTTGAAAATGTTACCTGATGTTTTAATCCATTCTCAGAAGAAAGCAGCTCAGGCATCTACCTCCCACAGGCTGAGATATACCTGGAAAAATTTAGATAGCTCATCAATGCTGGAAAATATGGACCTCGGGGTAAGTAAAATCTGCCACACTCTGCTGAAACACATGGCTGTTTGATTTCCTAATTTTGAAGGATCTGAACAAAATGTTGTATTGAATATTTCCTAAATCTAGCCACCACTCTCAGGGCTTCCAAGACTGAGATGAATTCTATTTCAGAGTGAATGATGCAGTTATCACGCCACCCTGCCTTCTGCTAGCACTGTGTCTAATACAAAGATGGATTCTGGGCACAGTTACTTTTCCATCATGTGGGGTACTCAAAAAAAAAGTTTTACCTTAGTTAAAAGGATAAGTTTATGTTAGTATCTATGGTACAATATTCCCTTATACTTTGGCTTGGCAGAATTCAATTTTTATTTTTTCTAATTTTTGACACATAATATCAATGTTTATTTGTAAACTTATTTTTATCCTTTTAAAATTTCACTATCATGTGAAATTATGGGGGTGGAAGCAACAACATATGTCAAAATATACAAAGTGACCATCCTTAAATCAAAATCTAATAAGTTTGCAAACAGCACTTTTTGTACTGTGACTATTGATAAATTTTGCTGCCATCAATGGAAATATTTTTTCATCAACGTGTGTGTATGGAGAAATCAATGTTTATAGGCATTTACCAATTAAAAATCTAATCCTGTCTAGCCTACCTATACTTTATATAGGAAATAACTGGAAAACTAGAAATACTGAGGTAAATTTGTAAAGTTATCTAAGGCAATTGGTATATTTTTATGAGTAGCCACTTTCCTAGTAACACAGCCAGTACTGAGCAAAGTTGAAAATGCTTATGGGAAAAATGAGAAATAGCTGAGGCCCCCTGGGTGCCTCCCTATGCCAACTGGAAGAAGGCACCACCATACCATAACTCACCTGAGATCTGACACACTCATTATGACAACAGTGAGTTGGGGCAATCTATGTGAAAAAAGGCATCCTGTAAGGTATCCTATTGAAACTGGTAACATGCCAGTGATTAATATTATTGCACAATTTAGCTACAGGTGGTGTATAGAGAATTATAGCTGTGTGCTGGAAATATGGTCTTAAAATATGTTTGGCCAGCAGTGCATAAGCCTAACCCAGCCAAAGGAATATTGTTTCATCGGCTTCACGGTGTTGTCAATGTAAATTGAGCAAGGTGAGGACAGACATATAATGGAAGTACATTTGAAGTAAACACAGCCATAAAACTAGCAGGTAGGGGAGATGACCACTTACCAATCACAATGGGGTATGCTGTACCCTCAGTAAGCCTTCCTGGCTCTTAAAACAGAGACAATGGACTTTGGAAAATATAAGCAGAAACATAAAGCCACTTTGGCATCTATCACCTGAGAGAGACAAGGGGCCAGAGCTCTTGAAATCTTGATCCTTCAACCAAGGCGGGAGGAAGAAGAGGGTGAAGTCTCTGGGAACTGACTGTAGGTGAGAAACCTGCTTAGACGAAGATTGTAACTTGCTGAAGTTAAGTTTTAGTCACTAGAAAGTATATTTTGTTTGTTACCTTTCATATCTCTTTCACTCCTACGTGAAATCACTTCCAATTAGTGATCAGTAGCACATTAGCCATGCTAAATTATAGTCAAAGTACATTTTGCCACATTTTTCTTGTATTTGTTAATAAGAGTAGTATATATTTCAGTTCCGTTTGTGTACAACACCATATTTTCTCACAACTTAAAGAAGGTATTCAAGAAAATAAATGTTTTAAGATTTATACTATATCACACAGAAGATGTAAAACCTCCATAATTGTGCACTAATGTATCATGTAGGAAATTTCTCATTAGACTCCTTCTGCATGTCATTGTATGGGCAGAAGCATGAGAACTGAGGGTCCTCAAGTTTTCTTACTTATAGTTGCAGACATTGTTTTTATTCATATAAATGTTTAATCCAATTCTGAAATGTTCCAAGTTATTTGCTTCAATAAAATCTTGCCTCAGTTAGTTCCACAAGCTAAACCAACTATAAATGAGTTTCTTTCATCTAGATTAAATAATGCATTTTAACGTGAGTGCTGATCTTATTTATCCTTTTCCATAATACAAGAACACCTGATTGACCCTCTCTGCACAAATTATTGTTCTGTAGGACCTTGATCCTATGGGTTGAGTGCCAATCTTAACTTCCATTGAAGCCAGTGGAAGTTGAGCACTTTAGTGAGGGTTGAGTACCCTCAGTTTCCACTGGCTTCAATAGGAGTAGAGGGCACCTTGCAGGATCCAATGCTCTATGAGTATCATATCTCCTAAATTACCCTAATCCTTTTAAATCTTTCCTTGTTTTCACTCCTCACCCCATTCCATGCTTCTATTCTTTTTGTTGCCCTTCCCTGAGGGCTCTGTTTACTATGCCCTTTTGGAGATGAGGGGACAAGAGCTGAATGCAGGCTTGAAGGTGAGTACATTCCATTTATTACTGTTTTTCTTACTACAGTCTAAAAAAGTGCTATGCAACTTTTACAAAAAGCACCTCCAGAATTTAGATGCTTGATATCATTGTCATCTGAGGAAGCTTAAAAGACTCCAATATTAATTTTGTCACAGGGATAGCTTTATTTTGTACCATGTTCTGTTCTTGCTGCAAGAGCAGTCATGACAATAGATGTGTAACTGCCATCTTTGTTCTCATTATTGGTGTAAAATTGTCAAGCGACTGGATTAATTTTATGCTGTCTTTCTATGCTTGCTGCAGTCTTTGTTACAAGACAATTAAATATATATTGAGAACAAGAATAAACATATATTAAAAACGGGGGATAACTTTGCTCAGAACTAAAATAGTTACATGGAAAAATCCTCTGTAAAATATATCAATTCCCCTGAATCTCCTAAGACTATAACAAAATAAAGATGCAAATCTATTCATTCTCAGGACACTTTCTACACAGAAAGATAAGGCGGAAATGGTGAAAACTTAACCGTTAGTGCTGTTCAGAATGAAGTGTGAAATTTAAGAAGGGTTTGAACTCCTTTCTCTTAAAGAGCATTTTATATGCTGACCAGGCATTGAGCTTAGTGGGGGGTCACAAGGTGTAACTGAAAACAAGCCTATTTTCAAATGGATTGTAACTCAAGGCAAAAGTTGGCCAATAGGGTGAAAGTGAACTTAAAAGGAAAACCTGTGCTTCATCTACAATAATGTTTTCCTCTTTATTTTTAAATGACTAAACATTTTAAATAAAAATGAACTCTTTACAATTAAATTAACATCTTTCTCTAAAAGTCTACCAAGTATAGGGAACAAACTGTAGAAAAAAGCTACAGAATAGTGTCTGATAGCAAAACTTTCACTGACATGCATAGAGTCAGGATTTTTACCTAGAAGCATAGAGGTAGGGTCTGAAATCCACATTTAAGCACCTAAATAAGTGGTTTCATTTTTAAATGTGCTGAGTACCCACCACTGCCCATTGACTTCATTGCCTTGTGAGTGTCTTGCCTCTTAGAGCTACAGAAGGGCATTCAGTGTACATTCAAGGACCATTCAACTACTATGGTAGTTCCTCTGTGCTTCTTAGTATTCATTTTATTCTAAAGAGTATTTGTTTTACTTGCTCATTCATTTCAAATATCAGACACCTTTCTTCATAAAGTCAGGAATAAGGACTATGCTTGATTTCAGAAGCTCAAGACTTTATCTCCAGAAAGCACTTACGTACTGCATCAAATCTCAACCAGTTCACTTGTAACACCTGTGTCGATGCAACCTTCCACCAGTAAATTATAGGCTGACCCCATAGGCTTTTCTGTGTGGGGGAGAATGTGAGAAGCTAGGATTTGTTTGTTGTGACATAAATTATTATAGGAGAGTGTCACTAATTAGGCTGATGTACGAAGAGGAGTCATTCTATTTCTGGTGCTGCCTCCCTGTCATCTTTAATTAACAATGGCTTTTTGCTACCCTATCCCCCATTCCTTCTGATTTTGTGCAATGGCCATTTCGCTCCCTAAGAAATTATCTATAAAATGTGGAAAAATTACAAAATACAAAACTGGACTTGGAGACAAACAGGTTGCATTTGAATGATGTTTGTTTTTTTGCTTCAGTCCAAAGTGTAGCAATTATGAGATCTGATCATGGAAAACAAAGCCTGCAGGTTACCAGTTAAATTCCAGCCTAGATTGCTCGTGGCCAACCTCCATGCTGAGATCTATGTGACGATTGGCCGATGGGCTCAGTGAGTTTCTAATACACAGATAATGGCATCCCTAAAATCACCAGCATTCTTGGCTCTAATTAGCATCTTTGTTAGCAGTTACAATGGAGGCCAAGAACTGAATGAGCATGAAGTCTGAACTTTACACACAGGTGGCCACTACAGTTCAAGGTTGAGAAGAAGTACTACTCAAGTTGCAGTGGGGGAGGTTTAGGTTGGATATTAGGAAACACTTCTTCACTAGGAGGGTGGTGAAACACTGGAATGCGTTACCTAGGGAGGTGGTAGAATCTCCTTCCTTAGAAGTTTTTAAGGTCAGGCTTGACAAAGCCCTGGCTGGGATGATTTAATTGGGGATTGGTCCTGCTTTGAGCAGGGGGTTGGACTAGATGACCTCCTGAGATCCCTTCCAACCCTGATATTCTATGATTCTATGATTCCTGTTGCATTTGTTCTGCATATAACTAAAGTACTTTATTGCTCGTGAAACATGCTGAGTTGGCTGCTTTCTAATTTCACTTAAGAAAAAAAAGCCGAGTCTGTCTTCAGCTTACTAAACTAGTAACTAAACAGGATGTTTGTGAGCTGTAAATATTGTGAGCCCTACTAGTGAAATTATTGCTATAGAGTCTTTCAGCTGTTTTGTCCCAACACCACCCATAAAATTTGATCTGGTTTACAGGGAAGAACTAATGTAAGGCATAACTAAAACAGTATGTTTATTTTACTACCTGGTTCTGATTTGTTTCTATGGTGTCAAATGTAAGATTTTCCAGAAACTTCATGTTAGACCTTTGCTAGAATGAAACAGAATAGCTTTCCTAACAAATTTGATCCCTGCATTTACTTTACCAACAGATTTGTAAGCTTTTTCCTATTGCTCTACCTCCACCAACTCAAAGGCATAACTTCAGAAGGACAGCATGTAGCTGGAGAACAGGGCTCAAATTGGAAAAGACAAAAGCAAAGCCCAAATAGTTGTACAATTTTTCTACAAGAAGACTCTAAGCTCCAGATTTCAAGATATTTAATGCAGGCAAGCAAAATTGATCCATAATAGTATACTCAGAGCCAAATTAAAGCAAAAAGTGTCATAATGTATCAACTTAAAAACTGGGGAGGGGGCACTGACCACCCTGAGGAAACTACACTACTTTAGAAGCATATTTCATTACTTATCACTGGTCTCCACTCCATTTCCCCTTATCTGCCCTAAGTGAATGCTATAGCTTAGAAACATCAGCATGTGACAATCTACTAGAACATCTCACGTGCTATGATTCTAGTTAGGTGCAACTATGCAGTGCCTCATTTGTATATAATGACTAATGTACACCCTGGGTATTTATATTAGAAAAGTCCTTTTCAAAGTGTAAATCAAAGCTAATTAGATATATTCACGTTACCAGAACCACAGAAGTCATTTTGTTGCCCTCTTGCTCTACACAGCCCAGGAGCTGAAATCAGAGTTCAGTTTTCATGCTTCAGGAGTGGACTTCTTATCTGTGTATGTGGCACAGGAATGAAGCTGAGACTTGAATAGGACTCTTTGTGGTCCAAAGGCTTCTTATGGACCCTGGTGGGCTCTAGACTGCAGCTCAGCTATGTGCCAAAAAGGTGGCTCCTTCTGGCAGAACCCCATTAGGAGCTGTATAAAGCTTTTTTCAATGAGAAGCCACTCATATCATAGAGCAGGCATATGCCACAAGTTACTGTAATTCAATGAAGGCAGTGTTTGTGATATGGCTAGCACGAGCCCTTACCAGTTCTTGTAGGAAGTGTAACACTCTTCTGGGGAATGACAAACCAAAGCCTCTTCAGCTGTATCACCTGCAGTTCTGAGGTGGCACATAAAGCAAATGGTAGAATCCACTCATCTGCTTCTGAAAATCCCTGTGTCTGGGGTGTCCATTTTTCTTTTAATGAGTCTTTATAAGATGCTGCAAGTGCTGTTGTGTCTGTCTCTAGCTTCCTTTAAGCTTTAGTTCACTGTCTGAGAAATCAAGTTTTCTATAGGTTTAATTTAACTTAATTTTGGACCTATTTTCCCTCCTTTTTCTTTTGTTTTAGCTGCACCTGAAGGTGCAAGGACTGGTTAAAGAGTTGATAAAAGAATGAGTGGTTTGGAAATTATAGCCACTCAAAGTTATGCAGATAAAGGCAATTACTAAGATTCCTATAAGTGGCTTTTTTTTTTTTTTTTGCAGGGGACAGCAGATAGTTTCTGCCGTTACAAGGGCTAGACTAAAATAACACAGATTATCAACAATCATATACCACCATATGGACATGTGGTCTGTATGGCAATTCCAATGCTTCCATTTTCACTTTTCACCCTGCCAGTTCCCTGGGTTTTGGACCATGAAGTGACCAACATTGATATCACTGAGGGACACAGTGAATGAGAATCTGAGGTCATGAAATACACAAGAATATTTAGACCAAGAAATATGAAGGAAATTTTTTACACACTCTCTCTCTCTCTCTCTCTTGTTCGTTGTGGGCAAGCTGCAGCATTTCCAGTTACAAAGAAGTAAAAATATTAGGCCAGCTCGTCAAATGATGTAAATCTGGCATAGCTCCTTTGAACAATGGATTTATGTCAAATTATACCCGCTGAGGATCTGAACCGGATTTTCTTTTTAAAAATGAAGAGTGTAGCTGAGGCTTTATTGATGGGTGCAGTATCATGGGGGCAATTTGCTGACCGTGTTGGATAGCGTATTTCCATTGTGGGGTTAGCCAGTTATGCTATACAGGGGGCTGTTCTATTTGTGAATGTGGTGGGGGAAGAGGCCCAATAAGGACTGGGAAGAGAAAGGCAAAGAAAGAAAAGAATAACCTTGATTAAATGAATCAGCTGCACTCTGTAACAAACAAATCACAAACCTTTTCATTCAGCAGCTTTTCACAGAGGTGTACAAGTTTGCAATCTGTTAGCCTGTAAAATGTTTGGAGAAAAGTCAAACATACTGTATCAATAAATGTTTAGTCAAAGCAGACATTTCTTTTGTACCTTTTTATAAAAAACCCTGCCTTTTTTCAGTTAAATTACCATAGATAAAACTGTTCATGTCATTGGAAAAAGAATCTACTGCTCTTTTCCTTGTTCTGCTGCTTCTGCCAGTCCTGACAACTAATGACAAGAATTCCTCTGGTAATCACGGCAAACAATCCATAAAGAGAATGGACTGTACGGTTGGCTCACATGATACAGAGCAAGTAGATTTTTGTTCCCCCAATTTCCAGCATTTCAGAGCCTCAGATGCTGCACATAAATAATTGATGACCCTTATGAAAAATTAAACATTCAGGGCAGCTCAAACTCATTCTCCAGACCTACATTTGTGCCTTCCCCATTATCCCTTACTGATTCTAAACAAACTTAGCAGGTTTTTTTTAAATGCCTTTCAAGCACGGACAGGCCTAGTTTAGAATTGTTCCATGTCTTTCCAAGGTAATCGATCCACAATCATACACAACACACACAATGTGGCTAAAACAGAAATCCTGGAAAGAAACTGAAAAAATCAAAGTAACAATGACCAGAAGCACAAGAATTAGAGCTAGGCTGCTAGACACTAGCAGAGAATCTAGCTCATTAGGTAGAATAGGAGTTTGCCTTTCAAGAATTCAGCCCAGATTCCTTTGTTTGAAGAATAGTTTCCCTTCTTTTTTTAAAGATATACTTGTCATAACAGTAGACAGTCCTGTTTAGATATTTTGCAGATGTGAAGACTTCACAGTTCTAAGAGCCGGATTCTGCCCTTTAGATACGTATGTACAGCTCTGAATGGCATTCAGAAGCAGAAACTGGCCTTAGGAATTTAAAATGAGAGCTATACTAGGTAGTAATATTACTTTTAATGCACCAAATTCTATTTCCCAAGATATTACTGAAGATTATCTTGCTACTCCCAATATATATATATATATATATATATATATATGTTTAGTTAAACATGGTAGCCATGGGAGCCTGATTAAAAAGGTGTTCACTCCTTTTTGTAATTGCAGCTTTGCTTATTTCAAAGGATAACATCTACAGTCGCTATACTGTTTAACGGACAACACTTTTCCAGTACCAATTGGAACCAATGGGCGGTCACTTGGATATAAAAAAGGTGGGTGCTGTCAGTGGAAATGGAGATGGGCAACTTGACCATAGTGTTGGGGGACAAGTCTAACGTTGATTGTGTCGTCATGTTTCCACCCCAGAACAGGTGGTGTCCTGTGAAGCAGAAACCTCTGCTTCACACCAACAGGGTTTCATTGGATTCAATTGCTTTCTTACACCTGGAAATCTGTCTGGTTGTTTTTACATATGGACCAAAGAAAATAAAAATTTAATAAATAAAAAGACTTAGCCTGTCTCTCAGGGAAGTTGCACTGCAGTTTTTAATCTTCACTGTGACCAGACTGGAGCTGGTAGGCCTCAGTTTTCATTATAATTTGTCTTTCGTGGATTCTGAGGGTGCAACTGGCTTCCTGACCCTACTGGCAGGTTCCAGGCTCGATTGTCTCTCTGGTCATCTGTTGTGTGTGTATCATTGGATGAGGGCTGAACTGTAGCTGAATCCATAGCTGCTAGACAGCGACAGGGACTGCTGGTGCTCCTTGGCCGGCTCTGAGGCGTAGCTGGGAAACGTCTGTGCACGAGACACCTTTGTTGAACTGAGACTGTGACCTGGAAGGAAGACAGAGAGCAATGTATTATGAATCAACTTACTGAGCTTCAAAAACAACTGAGCTGAAAATGTCCTCTGAATAGGCTAATAAGATATTAGCCATAGCTCTTTCTGAACTGGCAACATCCTCTATACAAACAAGTGCATCAGATCCATACTGTATTTGGACACTTTTAGCCAAAAACACTCAGACAGAGGAGAAAAAGAACGAACCAAGGCTTTGGCTTCATTTTCGGTTCTCTTCCTTTATTTCCTCCATGAATCAAATTAATAAACACTGATTTATTCATATTTACGCCCTTGTTCCTGGGCTTTTCAGTTAGGGATACCTCCAACAACCCCCGGACCCCATATATTCGATTCTGTACTGTTTTAGGTGTGCACATACATAAGTTATTTGTATGAGTAATTTCAGGAGCAGGCTGTTATGGGAGAGAGTGACTGTAAGTGGGAGTCATCCTTGCTTTCCCCACATGAAATGACTTTTTATTTTATTCACTAACAAACAAAATATATGCCATTTTTCACAGCAACAGTTACCATGGTCAAGTTCTAAAGTGCTCTTTTAGGAAAAAGGCTATGTAAGTCTCACTAGTTCTTTTGGAAGCTCTGGAGAGCTTTCACCAGGACAGAATTCAATTAGTTATATCCTTAGTTAAATCCAATTAGTCATGCATCCGATGAAGTGAGCTGTAGCTCACGAAAGCTTATGCTCAAATAAATTGGTTAGTCTCTAAGATGCCACAAGTACTCCTGTTCTTTTTGCGAATACAGACTAACACGGTTGTTACTCTGAAACCTATTTTAATGTAGTAAATAGCCTGTGAAGTCACAATAGTTCTTCATGTGGATCAGCTTTGTTTTTAAAAACCTCTAAGAGATCAGGTTCTTTGAGGAATATTTTAATGTAAAAAGAAAAGGTGGCACCTTAGAGACTAACCAATTTATTTGAGCATAAGCTTTCATGAGCTACAGCTCACTTCATCGGATGCATACTGTGGAAAGTGTAGAAGATCTTTTATACACACAAAACATGAAAAAATACCTCCCCCCACCACACTCTCCTGCTGGCAATAGCTTATCTAAAATGATCACTCTCCTTACAATGTGTATGATCATCAAGTTGGGCCATTTCCAGCACAAATCCACTCTCCTGCTGGTAATAGCTTATCTAAAGTGACCACTCTCCTTACAATGTGTATGATAATCAAGGTGGGCCATTTCCAGCTCAAATCCAGGGTTTAACAAGAACGTCTGGGGGGGGGGGGGGTTAGGAAAAAACAAGGGGAAATAGGTTACCTTGCACTTCTACACTTTCCACAGCATGCATCCGATGAAGTGAGCTGTAGCTCACAAAAGCTTATGCTCAAATAAATTGGTTAGTCTCTAAGGTGCCACAAGTATTCCTTTTCTTTTTGCGAATATAGACTAACACGGCTGCTACTCTGAAACCAATTAAATGCTTCAGTGGATGTTGAATTACACACTATGACTAGGTATCACCCACACCTACAATTCCTGTTCATTCCCTCTTATGCACTGTGCTCTTCCCTTACCTTTCTTTCTTCCTGTTCCCTTTACTTATTTTTCTCTCTCCCAAACTGTTCCTTCTTTCATGATGCCCCTTGTGCTTGGAACAGTCTCCCTCCCTCTTCTTGTCCACCTTCTTTCTTATTTAAAATCCCTCTTCAGCACCCATCTCTTCCATAAATTCTTCCTCACCATAGATTCTTATGTCCTCTCCCTTACTTAAATTGCTGTTTAGATGTGTTGTGTCTTGTTTGTGTTAGACTGCAAACTTTTCAGAGCAAGAATCAGGTCTTATTTTGTGGAATATCATGTATATTTATGGTGCTTTATAAATACTCAGTGGTAATTAACTGAGTTAATAATTCAGAACTAATGGAAACCCCTCCTCACATGAGTAAGCCCATTGTTTTAAATGGGATTACTCCCATATGTGATACTCCATGCAAAAGTGGCCATGAGCATAGACTGTTTGCATGCTAAAGTTGCATTTAGAAGACATGAAGGTTGGGTAAAAACCAGCATTTTGCATTTGTACTTCAGAATTAATCTGGGGTGGAACATGGTCCATGTGTTTGAACTGTCGCCTGATTTTAGAAGGTTAATATTATTATTTTGAATAATATGGATTATAGGCTAGCCAGTTAATCTGATCAGAAGATAATAAGATTCTTCTCCCAGTGGGACAAGTGGGTCACCCCTCTTATGGAGCTTGAGCACTTGAGCCCTCCTCCTATGTCCAAAATTAGTTTCCTCACCCACAAAATGTTAGGGCACACTTACTCCATAGGCTGGTATGTTTGACATATTAATGCCATTAGCTCATTCTCTGTTATTTCTGTCCTAATTGATTATTTTGGTTCTTTCCAAGTTCCAAATTGTGGTGTACTTGTTAAGTTTAAAGAGGATATGAACTTAGGTAGACCCCATACCACCCTGCTTCAATATATCCTTTATCTATCTATGTTAAAGGTCACAACCATATATGGACCTTATGCTTTAGCTCATCACCACCGATCCAGGAGGAAAGTCCCAAACATATGTACCCTAACTTTACCTTAGCTCAACATATAGGATGTGGCCTGCAGGTCCCTTGCGTTACAGCCAAAAATACTCTAATATGAACCTATAAACCTATTATAATGAAACAAACAATAAAGCCCATAAGAAAATAAGAAACCCATAAGAAAAGATATACAGGGAAGCAAGAAAGCTAGCCCTATAGTCTACAGAACTACCTAAATTCTCTACTATGCTATTGATATGCAGCATGACCTGGCCCTAATTACTCTGAGTTATGGAAAATTTAAATGATGTCCAAAGTCCAAAGCCCTGTAGCAAACCGGTGACAAAACTGGGAATAGAACTCAGATTACCCAGTTCTCTATCCTATAGATTTATCTACCTCAGATGGAAGGTTTGAGATGTAATTAATTATCTACAATTGATAAAACTCTTTTAGTTTCTTAGATCAAAGGATAATTAGTGCAAATTATTATCCATCTTTTTCACCTTTGGAATCCACATTCAAGACTAGACCTGAAGTGAGATTAGAAAGTGTTTATTAAAATGTATTTAGTAAATTTACTATATATGAGAAGGTGAAAGAATAATCCTCTTAGACAACGCAAAATTAAATATTTGCATGGAATGAAAGGAAACTATTTAACAAGTGAATAAGAGCGATGGTTTCACACTGAAGAATTTCAAGATAACTAGCAGTTTTCTAGAATGATTTAAGCCTGAACTAGTAGAGCAGGAATAGCAAATATGCAGCTGATCAGGAATGAGACACATTGCAAAACTTTGCCATAATGGCTGTCCTGGGAAAAGTCTGGCTATGGCCACTGCTGTAAGTCTATTGCTTCATGCAAAATTACAGGTCACTAAAAGGCAAGGAAATGAGCAACAATATCGAGAGAGAGGAAACAAACAAACCGACTAATCAACCCAGCAACATTAGAGACAATAAAACCACAGACTGCTTTCCCAGTGGCAACTTAATGATCACAAAATCCCTTTTATAGCATGCATAGCAGACTGCATTCTGTCTGGATAGCTTTCCTCACTGGGTTAAATTAACATTAGCTATCAAAATCCTGACTGAGATGCCAAGTCTAAATGTCTTTCTGCTTCAAGGAGCCACTGCATTAAACTGGCAGTGAGGTCTGAACAGCAAGGTAAAACTATTGAAACAGCACAAGCAGACTTAGATAGTAAAGAGTCAATTCTGAAAAGCTTTACTCATACAAGAGATTCAATTGGGACCTTGCAGAGCTTTATAGTTATCTGGAGTTTGCATCATAACGATCCGTTCTTTTTTAACTTAATTCAAACCTATCTCTGTACCAGTCACATGCTCTTATGTTTTTTCAAATCTTCCAGTGTCCTTTCTGAAGATGTAAAGGCTCGTTCTGTACTTACCTGAAAGCTGGAATGATACAGTCTTTAATGATTCCTACTGGACTATTAATATAGAAATTTTATTGGGTCTTCAAAACTTCACCAGGAAAGTATTATGTTTGTGAGCAACACAGGCAGAGAACAAAGATAATTATCTAATCTAATCCATCTATCCATCCAACATGTCACTAGTCTTTTCTATTCTTTGAAATGCATTTTGCTATGTACAATGGTAGGCTCTCATTAGAAAAAGACTAGATGGTACACAAAAACATTAATCAAAACGGGAAAGATAATCTTAGCAGTATTCTACTGCATATTTTGAAACGTATGACGCTAGTGAGAATGTACCTAAAACCAGTCCTAGCTCCCTGTTTGGTTCTTTGTATTCCCTTTAATGGTCATATTGTACCTTCGTTCATGTGTTTTGGTCTCTTGTATAAACCACACAAAAGGAAAAGAACAGTCCTGGAGCTCACCAGGAGTTGGCAGAAACTGGTCTTTCTTTTTCACAGATCACTCGCTCATTCCGAAGGACTGAAGCCAGTTTACTCTCATCTGCTCACTCTGTGGGATTCACATGGATATTTCATATCCATTTGGGTGTTTCCTCACCAGAATCTCCTGTCTCAGTGGAAATCTATGAACAGGCTGGTGACTAATTCTGAAGAGTTAATTAACTTTTGTAGGATTAACAAAACAGCTTGTGGCAGTCCATACATTTGTAGACAGTAAAAACTATTGTTCTTTAGTGAGGCAAATTTCATGGAAGCATGATATGGAGGGAGTAAATTTGTGTGAGAGATGATTTAAGTCTGATAAATGATTTTAAGCACCTTTAAAAATTATATTTAACTGCCATTTGAAAAACTTAATAGTATGTGTTAAGTGACAAATCTTGCACACTCCTTCCACCATGTGCATGCATTTCCCTCTGCCATTCCTTCTTGCAGTGGAAATAATGTGATTCCACTCCTCCATAAGTACCACAAGTCCTCTTTTCCCCCTTCCAAAACTTATGCATTGCATATTCCAGACTTGGCCATGTTCCTGATGCTCAAGGATGAGC